CCCCTATAAATTCTAGTGGGAATTCTACAATAAATTGGACATTACGTCTAGTTTCCTGTAAATGTCTAAACTGAAAATCCGCTTAGATTGTCTAATTCTTTTATTTAGTTAACGCTACCTCAATTCTACTCATTTATCGACTGCACCATATATGTGATAATGGGTATCTCTCGAAAGATTTTAGTTTAGAATATTTCTCGTCTCGCTTCCGTAGAATTGATTATTCCGATGAGTTGAATTATTATGTATGCACGTAGTTGGTGGATACCGATTTATTGCGGCTGCTTCTTCACTTTGGAAGCTTTCTGAAACGATCCGATGACAAGTGTCACGGGGTCGAAGAGCTGACAGGATAATGGGCCGTACCCATTTCAGTAAAAGCTGCGGCTCCCGTTGTTAATACATAAGAAAATTTACGGCTCAGCTCCGACGACTGTTGCTACGATCAAGACGACGACGACGACGATGACGCTGGCGGCGACGGCGCCGGTGCGAAAACCTGTAAACTTTACATCTGTATATCATTAATTTTCGCCTACTAGGTATATGACGACCACAAAAAATGCGGTAGCTTTGGTCGATGCGATGCCGTAGAATGAGGATCGAATGAACTGACTGATTTCGCACTTTCCATGATTTATGATAACATCAGGCGAAAATGAAACAGGTCGCGGCGGGAGTGAAGTTTTTGACAAATTGTCGCGAACTTGTGCGAGAAATCCGAAAAATAAATAAGCAAACTTGAAGAGAAATTAATGAATATCTATAGGTGGAACCCCATCTATGACCCGAGATAAAAATGTTCAGTCTCTCAGAGTCTCTGAAAGCGAGACTCGAGTCTCCGTCTCTCATCGAGTCTCTCTGGTATCGCTGAGAGAGACTGTCAAAAAAACTGTTTAGCGTCTCTGAACGAGAGACTCGAATCGCTCATAGAGAGATTCTCATTTCGTATCCAATCTCTGAACGAGAGACTCAAATCTCTGAATAAACAATTTTATCGTTAGAGTCTCTCATACAGAGACTGTGAGAGATCCATAAAAACACCTAG